TATATACATGTACATATATTGTATATATGTATACACAAAATAAATAAAAGGAAGCACAGATAAAAAATATTAAATAACAAATATACTGTAAGAAATATTTTTTGTGATACATTAATATGTTTCATTAAATGCATTCTGGATGCATTAATTTTTCAATAAATTATTAATACGTGGAATGTGATATAAAAGATAGACAGTCTCAATTTATAATTAGAATTCATGAATAAATTTTACTCGATTATAAAAATATATATATTTTATTAATAAAAATATAGCACCATCATTTCGTATTTTTACGACAATTTTATATGCGTATATAAATTTTTTTATCGTTAATTTACTGCAATAGATATAAAAAATACAATTTTAAAAAATATTAAAAGAATAAATGGGCTAACCTGTAATATCTATTATATCAATAACATAATCATTCATTATGTTGCGCTTATACTCTAATATCGTAATTTTTAAAATATTGATTGATGATTGAGTTATTGCATAACAACTTGACTGTACAACATTAAATTGGTTGAAGTGTCAGAGACACATTAGCATAATTTCTCTCTCCAAGATTTTTATCATAAGATTCTAAAGTGCCCTTTTTAAAAGTATCAGTCTCCAATGGCAGTCATCTAGTGAAGTCTGGCATTAGAAAGAATTTACGTAACGTCAACTTGCCTCTCGGCTTGTGTTTGAGATGGTCCTCAATGAATTGACAAGGGCAACGGGCGGAGACACAATGGCGCGGTGGAACAGACAGACCCATAATACCTCTATCACGTTCCTGCGAGTCTATAACCAGATCAAGTCTGCGACGCACGAAGTGACGTGCCCATCGAGACGCATACCTCAGCAACAGCAACTCCGCCCGTTCCTGTCAACACACACCATCATCATTCAGTAGAACCCTTTGCTTCACGCAAAATAGTAATGTGTGGTTTTCCTTCAATTTTCTGTCAAAAACCTCTCAAATTTATATATTTAGTTTTATGTTAAAATATAAGCTTGCAAGTATCAATGTATGTAAGGCGTCCAAATTATCGAGCCCCAACTTGAGTCGAACTTCGAACCGCAAGCATTTCGGTTAACTTTCGTTGTTTTTTGCCGAATCGTGTAACAAATATTTATCGAAATGCTTACGGCTTGAGATTTGGTTCGAGTTTTGGCTCGATAATCTGGACGCACCCTTATTTCTATCATATATATATATATAACTGTTGAAAACTGATATAAGTAATATTCTTCACAATATAGTATAGTACAATTCGTAAATATAATCATCTGTATGCTAATGACGCCTCTGACTGACCATTATGCTTGATAATGACTTTTTGTCATAAAAGTGTTTTCACGTTATTCCAAATTATTCATTATGAATTAAAAATTATTTGCTCACCATTTTACAGGTATATTTATGTTATATATAAATAAAAAAAAAAAAATATATATATATATGTCATCAAGCTCAAGATTGTTAAATATAATTAGGGCATCAAAAAATTATTGATAAAAAGAGAAGAATACTGACATAGCATTTATCAATATAAATAAATGGGAAAGCTTGATAAAAATTAGCCCTAAAAATTTACACTATTTGTCTCTCAAAGGAAACAATTTACTGGAATGCTGAATAGATTAAGATAAAAATTATTATATCCATCGTTATCTATCTCTATAGATTGTATTAACAATAAGCCACAGATCTATCAATGTCAATTTTAACATTAAATGTGGTGATGATATGATCTTCAAAATATAAAATTGAATATAATCTTTATCTTACGTAGTAAAATACATGAACACCATATTTAGCGTTAAATGAGTCATTAGCGGAATGTAAATGTGTGTGTGTCTTGCTCTGAAAACAAAAAACGATCTCGTTCTATTCTATATAACTATAATTATATTAATTTCAATCTCTCTTTTTAAGCCAAATTGCCACTTATCATGTATTATAAGTTATTTGTAATACTTTGATATTTTTAAATAAAATGTTAAGTACCTTTAAAAAAATATTTTAAAATTAATATATAAACGACATCAGTAAACATAATTCTCAAAATAATATAACAAATACAGCAATAAGAAACAATAACCTATGAGATATTGAGTAATTACATCACTATGCTCGTAAGCATATCAAAAGTTAGTTTTAACAAAATTTAAGAGAAGAAAGTTCTTTTAAAATTTTTTTACGCAACAAATATTTGATATTTAAATCAAAAGTTGCATTCTCGTCCAGATATTGTGCGGTTCAACTATTTCTATATCAATAAAAAGATGTTCACTTTTGCAAATGTATGTTAAACATAAGTCTTAAACAAAGGATTACGGCAAAAATTACTTGCGAATCGATAAAAGTAATTTGTAATTTTCTTTGGAAGCTATTTATACGCATTTAGTTATGCGCATTCGAGAAAACTTAATAAATAAATCATAAAATCTCTGCAATTTTTGTGTAATTGTAAAACAGCGTGTGTATCTTTATAAGCAACATGGAATAATCGTATTTCTCAAATGCCTCTGTCTCTGAGAAAACTACTCCATCTAGGACAAAAGTCTCTGCCCTGAACGCGTGGCTTATTACGTAACCATTCCTCTATATATTGACAAGGACACAGAGCAGACGCTAAATGACGTGGCGAAGAAGGATTTCCACCCTCCTCGTCAACTGTCCAATCCAAACGCCGACGTAAGTAATCCTTTGCCCAACGTTGCACATAACGGCAGAATACTTGTTCGTTTTTACCCTGGTAGTTTAATATAATGCACAACAAAATATTTAATATAACTTATTGGAGTCAGTAATGTATTTCACAAATAAACCGAATTTATATAACAATTAAGGCTTATATTGAAGAGCTAAAGATGCTCCAACGCCACATATGAGAACTTTTTTCGTCTTTATGTTTTGTACTTAAAACAAAACCAATATGTTTATGCTTTGGAGAAAACATCAATGTAGAAAATAAAACTAAAAAAAAATAGATGTAAAACTTAACTTTTTGCCTTATTTCACTTATTGATTTAAATAAAAGAATAGTACTTTTATTTTTAGCTCCTCAACATCTGGCCTAATAAAATATTGATGAAAATGTCAATATAAAATTATTAAGAAAATTTGAATTATAAAGAAAATTTTTTTTAAATAAAATAATATTGAAATAATTTTAAGAATATAGAGAAATATAAAAATAAATAAAAAATTAGACTAGAGATCATGCATTTACCTGTTTACGAGAGATTCTTGTAGTGGTGCTGCCTTGTATAACAATGTCACTATCGTCAATGTCCATACGTTGCTGTAATTCTCGTTGTCGATTTATATCGTTTGCATCATCGCCACCAATTATTCTACCTTCGCGTTCTTCCCGTTCTATTACTTCTTGCAGCTTTTTCTATCACAAAACAAGCCGTTATATTAATCTTTCGCAGATATATGTAAATATTCAAAAATGTTATAGTAAAAAAAGATAGTGTTTGTATGTACATGAATATTTATCTAAAAAGAGTCTCTTATGTCATATTACTTTAAAAAACAAGTGATTAAATTCTATTCTAATAAAAGCTTTACTTACAACGCAATCCGTAGTGTCAAAATATATGAAACACAGATTAACTTTGTGGCAGGAGATTTTCCCTCTATCATCTAATCCCAATAATATTTTATGTCTTAATAAATGTTTGTTAACTTGAGCCATACATTTCTCAAGGTTGTGATTGAGCTTTATTTTGATAAACATGCAGAAGAATATTGCAGCTGCATTCAGGATTAACCACATAACACCCAGTCCGAATAAAGTGAGGCCAGTCACACCGGAGAACAATAAACCAAGCAGCACAACGAAGGCGGTAAATATCCAAAGGACGAGAATCCTCTTGTAGCATATGTTATACATATTGAAGCGTACATCGTTCACAAGTAATTCCATTATGTGAACATAATCTTCTACTGTAAGCTGCAATATATCTGTATTTTGTTAGACTGCTGATCATTTTTTTCTTTAGAATACATAAGAAAAAGTGTGTGAGCTGGTATTTCTCTTAATTACTTTAATATTTCAAATCACATCCTATAATTTAATCAAATACAAAGAATTTTGTATTACTAAAAGTAAAATAAAAAATAAAAGTAAATTAAAAAATAAAAATAAAATTATGATATACAAATATATTAAAATAATATAAATAAATTACCGTGCTGAATAGCTCAATATTAAAACAATCACTTATTTGCTTGATTTGAAATGGGGGGGGGGGGATTTGTTTTCTAGAAATACTATGCCACATGTATATATGTACATATGACGTTCGAAATTATAAGTAGGAAAAGATTCTAGCTAGATTTATGATAAAGTCAAAATATCCGAACATGAAATTAATCTCAAGATAAACAAGTCGCGATACTATCTCTTGGAGGACAGGAAACGTTCAAATAGTGATAGAAATAGTGATAGTTATTCTAAAAACAAAATTCAGTAAAAAGCTTACAACTTTTCTTGTAAAAGTTACAGCTATAACGAAATAAAGGTCGATTCAGGCGATTGTAACGCCGTCGAGAAAGAAAAAAGGATATGATAAATTACACGTACGGTTAATCCTTGTGCCATCAATTCTTCTGGCACCAATTCCGGTCTGAATCTGGCCGGAGTAATCCACGGCCACTTAGTATTTACCGGCAGAAGAGTAACTATGGTATCGCCATTGGCAAAACCTTGTCTGATGTTTCCAATCGACGTACTAATAACGTTACTCGGTGCATTTCTCCCATTCGACACATCCCTCAGGTCGATGGTCTTCAAAGAAGCGCTCTTGACTTCTGACGTTCGAACGTCAGACGGTAATTTAAGATCCGGAGTCTCGGACGTGATAGAACGACTTAAACCTGATCTATCTAAGTTAATCTGGACGGATTCGGTTGCTATCACAGCACCTCTGTACTCATTGGTTTTCTTATTATTAATATCAGGTGGGTCAATACTTTTGCCGATTTTGTCGACCTGTACAGTAACCGACTCGGGCTTTATTACAGCGGGCGCGCTACTGTTGCCGGCTTTTTTTTCGACATTGGTAGCTTCTTTCGAATCTGTCTCTTCCTCAAATTGGACCCAATTCGTTTGTGCAGCTACGCCAAAGGAATCAGCTGCTGCCGCCGCCGCATTGTCAGTTGTATCAGTTGTATTATCTTCGGAACTCATGACTAAAAAAAAAAAATAATATACATGTCTTCTAAGAATTTTAGAGATATTTTTCAGAGGATCAATTGCATATCACAGATTAATAAATTTTGAAGATATTTATAAAACAAATGTGTGTGTACACAAACGGCAAAATATTTACAATCTGAAATGTTATAGTCTGATAAAAGCTGCCATTTCGTACACTAATTTTCGGCCTTGCTAGCTCATTAGCGGTGCGTTTAATCGGCACTTGTCGGCGCTCATCGGCACGTAGGTACGCACCGCCGATTTCGCTCGGCTAAAAGGGAGTGTCCCCGGATATGGAATCCCAAGACGCGAGACTGTCGCTCTCGTGGAACATTTCACATTTCATCATAAGGATGATCGATAAGAGATTCCCAATCGGAACGATCGTCCTCGATCTGGCGCGGTACTCGTACGCGGAAATCCCCGGTCGGTCGGATGCATCAGGTTTCGCGCGATGGACCTCCGAGTGTCCTAAACGGGAGATCTCGCGCGACCGTCCGCGACGGGGAAAGGGAGAGAAAGATCAGGGAATCGTGCGAAGCGGAAAGAAAAGAAACGCGGAGTCGAGCTGATCGAGCACGCCACGACACCGGAAGACCTACCTGAGGTGATGCGGCCTGTCTCATGCCCGCGCGAGCCGAAGAGGTGCGCGACGAATCACGAAATCAAGGTGTACGACATCGGGGCATTGGGAACACAACGGCTAGGCGATGGTAGAGGTGGGTAGAGGGCGGGCGGGACTCGGGGGGACATCGAGGCGATGGAGGGAGTCGCGGGTCGCAGGGAGGTGTGAGGTGGTAGGCGTATGTGTGTGCGTGCGCTATGCGTGTATACAGCGAACACCTGCATGCGTGCGGCCGCGCGCGCGTCCATACCTGCCGTACGATCGTCCGTCACGTTCACAGCGTTCATGGCGTTCACGCAATCCGAACCGTGTGAACGCTCCCCCCTCCTCCCCGCCCCTCCGTTAGATCTTTCGCGAATTTAAATGATTGCGAATTGATCGGGATTTCATTCAGAGGGAAGCTTCGAATCCACCTGTTTATCATCGCACACCTGTATGCGATTGTTTACATTCTGATTACACTCGCGACGTTGTATATCTAATCGAAATTATATATCAACGTAACAGGATTATTTACATCTGATTATGCACGCTCTAATGCGCCTCGATAGAAACGAAAGATATATTATACCTGCCATCAGTTTCTACGCTTGTATAGAATCATTTGAAAGATATTATATCTCAACGATAATAACGATGAATAATAGTACGAAGCTGATGTGGTGAAGTTAGTTAATCTAATTTTATTAATTTCTTCAGTTTCGCTAATTTCTCAATTAGCCACTGAAATTACAATTTAATTAGGATTGGGGCCAATTGAGGTGAAATGCCAAGAAGTCAGCACGTAAAAATGGCGCGAGTATCTTATCGACGATGAAAGTTTTGAAATTAAACGGAATGATTAGTGCTGATACCTTTTTAAATATTCTACTAGTAGTCTAATTATTTCTCAAAAAGTTTTTCTTTTAAAGCAAAGCTAATGGATAATCGCATTATAATAGTTGCTTTCTATTTTTACGTAAGTGATATCGAGTCGTAAAGTTATAGCTTTATGGATAATGACGTCATTAGCATTACTTACCTACTTTGGTGATAAGATTTGTCTTTTATGTCTCTAAACAACATATTTATATTTGTTTCACTTCAACTTATTGCACCAGTTCAGAGATGAGTGCAGGAATAAAAAAACAGACCTAAAGTTATTGTATAACGATACAGGTTATATAACCTCACTTTTAAGGCGATGTTAACAAGATTCAATAAAATACACGATCTCGAGCTTATGCAGATTATAGATAAAAGCTTAATTGTACATATCTTATTTGTCTGAATGCAAATGTCACGTAATGACTCCATCAATAGCATTATTTTAATTGAAATTAATTTTCTTAATTAAATGTAACACTATTAATGAAACAAATATGTACATACCACTTTTGTTTTGATAGAATTTTATTTCGTTAACACTATTATTGATTTAATAAGATTATTTTCAATTAAAATAATGCTATAACAATTAGTTGCAAAATTAACTTTTATAATTTGATTTCTATTCTATTGTCAGAAATATTTTTTTATAATTCTGTTTCCGATTGTTTTTTTTTTTGTTAATCTTACTGAGCTATGATAGACTTTTGCATTAAATATGATTAAATGTATCGGCGTTAGTATTTAAAACAAAATAACTTGGGGACGGTTATTTGTTGGAAAAATTTTACTTTTAACAGTTTACTAACAACGGCGGAAACGGCGGGTAAAAATTTATTGACGTATTATTCTTGATTGACCAACCACAAGAAGGAGTTTCACTAATTGACCAATCAAAAAATATTTCAAAGTATTTGTAACATTAGTAGCAACATAAAGGAAGGAACAGAACACAGGACGAAGTGTCTGAAAGTGCACTTGCTGCTGATGATCAGCTGGTGCTACAATGCTATGTGTTGATTGATGATATTGACTTAATCCATCTGATTGTCAAAATGTACCGTCTGAATTTGATATCGCATATGTCGAGATGCGTCCTACCAAATATTAATTTTATTCGTTCTGAAGTGAATACTCGACGTAATATACATATTTATAAAAATGTTTTTGTGAAACTCCCGCGATTTACTCCTGCTAGGATAGAAAGATATCGTTTTAACGATAATCACAAATCACAGGAGAAAAAATCCAGGATGCTCCTTGCAGTATCATTGCCTACATTAATTTTTCATTATCTTCTTGGTATCGAAGATACCGACGAAGAAGTCCCGGAAGTTATTATGACGATCAAACGATCTGTATTATTGATACAGGTTAGATATATGTATATATTGAGATTATCTTATGTATTTAATATTTATGTAAGAATAAATATTTTAAATATATATAAATATTACATTCACATATATAAATATATTTTTCAATATATATAAATGTTTATGATGCAATAATATTAAGAGAGAATCGTCAATTTAAATCTCATACAGGTTCAGCAACATTTGCTTTCCCTTTATAGAAGGGAGAATATGATAAAGCAGAGCAAATGCTACACTTAGCGTTACGCCAAGCACAAACCATACAACATTATGATGCTGTCACATATATCTATGATGTAATGGCTAATCTTGCTTTCGACACTGAAAAATATCGCAAAGCAGAGCAATTGTTCGTATTAGTTTTGCAAAGGCTGATGTTAAATGGAGCTACAGAAGATGATATGCGAGTTATCCATATAAGTCTGAAAATGGCCAAAGTATTTGAACATCTTAAAGAGCCAAAGTAAGCAATATAATCTTCAATAACTTTGTTTTTTTTTTTATAAAGTATGACATGGAATTAAAGATTTATATTCTAAAAGATTACATATAAAAGCAGAAATTCTAAATTTTAATAATTAACTATAATACTTTTAATTAACTCATCATATTTCTCCTTTTTATTATTAGTACATTATAGTATATTATATATAAGATAAATATTTTTTATTTCATACAGGAAAGCAGAGCAGGGTTATAAATTTTGTATGGAAAATTTGAAATCGCACATTGAAAAAGATCCTGATAATAAAGATGCTGTATTGCTACAGGGTATAGCTTTTGATTGGTACGCACGAATGTTACTTTCACAATCTCGATATACTGAAGCTTTGAATTATCTTCTTCAAGCTTATAATATATGTAAAAAAATAAATGGTGAAAAACACGAACAAACTGTTGTTCTGCTTAATGATTTGGGAACAATTTGTTCTATACGAGAAGAATATGACGAAGCTATTAAATATTTGTCTGCTGCAGTAAAAATAGGTAAAAGATATTAATAAATATCAATATACTTTGTAACTTTTTATAATTATTAATCTCATATAATATACATAATGTTTTTAGGAGATAATTTACCTGATATGGTTGACTTGGGTTCAATTCACGTGAATTTAGGAAGTGTGCTTTTAAAAATGGGTTTATATGATGAAGCTAAAAAAGCTTGTCAACGAGGAAGAAAAATAGCTAAAAGTAAAGAAGACAATGATTCTTTGTTAGAAGCAGATGAATGTCTCAAGGAAGTAAAAAGATTACTATCGTTGTGATCCTTATGATTAGCTCGGATAGTTTAGTTGTTAAAAATATATATGTTTTAGAGAAGATTTAGAGAATTAGCATTGTAAACATATGTAGAAAAATATTTTAAAAATTTTAATGATTGTAATAAGGGTCTGATGCCGAAATACAATTTTTTCAATAAAATAAGCTATTTATTTGGTATTCAACAGACTAGTCATTAATATAAAAAACACGTTTTACTTCTGGAATGTTATAATTTAATATATTTTATATGTATAATGTTATTAATATAATTTGTGCATCTTCAGTTTTTACATTAGATTTCTTATATTATGTCACAATGAATACATTAAAACTTCATTTATAACATATTCCCATTATTAAATAAGAAATTGTAATATAAAATATTGAATAATATTTATATAATAATTTAAATAATAATAACATAGAGTATGTACATATACATTTAATTCTTTGAAGAAACATTCTCAAAAGTTTTTGCCATAAACATGATTGCCATTTTAATGCACTAGACTGTATTTACAGTTTTCTTTGCAAAATATTTTGACAAAGAATATCAATCCACAGCACCAATATTTATTATAATATATATTTGTTATAGTATTAATATTTATTATAATAATTTTAATCTTTATTTTGGAAAAACATTTTTTTAGCAATTTTATAGTTTATGTGAATTTTTATATTTTATCTATATCTTATTGTAAATTCAAAAGCATTGAATTAAGCTGTATTAACAGATTGCAGGCATATGCCATTTGCAAGTCATTACATCATATCACATCATGCAGAAAATATATTTAATACAATGAAAAAATAACGGCAAAATACAAATGCGTTAGAGTCAGCGCTGGATATTATATTGCGCAATGCTAATTAATACCTATTAATATGTCATCAAATCAATTTTGTACGTTTTGGTTCACTATTTAAACCATCTTCAGCAATAAAAAATTACCGCTTATGGCACTATAAAATCTGTCAAACTTTCACACAATCGTAGTTATATATAGTAAATGTATTTAGGCTCTATTAGAAACAAAAAGATTCATTATAAACAATCATGAGAATAGATTTATTGTATAAGTATAATAAGCAATAAAGAGTTAAACTAATCGTTCTTATTTGAATTTATGCGCACAACATACATTTGCTATCATTCAAGCTAATCCACAATTTTTAAATGTATCTACTATTTCATCCAAATGTTTGACTTAGTATTTTCAGATCATATCTTTCTTGTTTTAGGCACTCTAAATATAAAGTTAAACAAATTAAGTACTTCCTCTGAACACTGATTATTTGTGATATTTTTCAATATATATATATATATATATATATATATATATATATGTATATATATATCTTTCTCTCAGACTTATCTTGATAATAATCATTATAAATTCGGGATATAATTTCTAACAAACTATTTATCAAATGTAGTCTTATACGCAAACTAAAAAAACATACTAAACATAATAAAAAAAAATGTATAGGAATAAATTATGCAAATATGAAATATGAATTACTCTTTATAACAAAATATATATGTATTATCAAACACACTATTTAGCTATATTAAAGTAATATCATAATGTAGTACATAAATCGTAATGATCTTTAAATGTTTTATATTTCACAAAATCACTGAGATTTTTTTCTTAATGTAAAAATAATAACTGTTTTAAATCTTTTTTTGTTATACATTGTTTTTACAATTCCATTCATTTCATAATCTTGTTCTTCACTGAGACATAAATGCAATTCTAGTTAATTGCATTAAAAACAAATTTCTTTTCTGCGCTGCTACTTATCCAATAATGTTTTTAAAGCTTAATGAACAAGAATGAAATGAACTGAATGAAAATAATATAACAAAATAAATTAATCTTATAACTAATGTATTTCTTATTCGTAGTCTGCTATAAGAACCATCATATATACTCCAAAAAGAAGTGCAGATATCTCCATAATTGATTGCCAAAGTTTAGTGGCAGTTAAAAGTTCTGGTATTACAGAAACAGTTGCAATGTAAATAAAACCTCCTGCTGTGAAGGGAAGAATCCACCTTGTTGCAAAATCACCTACAACACAAAGACAAAATTAAATAGAATACAAGCTAAAATCTGATGTCTATTTAAATGTTGCTATTACATGTTTCTTACCCATTCCATCTGCTAATAAAGAAACAAAAGTTCCTAATAAAGCTCCTATAGCAGTGGTTAATTGCAGCATCATAGCCTATATAAACAAAATGATAAAACTTTTAAAACAGCAAAAAATAAAAAAACTTTTAAAACTGTAAATTTTTTGCACATGTTGAACTTTATAATAGGTCACAACTACAAGAATCTTTGATCATATTTTATATTTTGTGTAATTTTATCAAGTAAACTGTCAAGTAAATTGTCATAGACAATAATGTTGTATCTGTTACCTTTCTTTTACTATATCCACTTTGTATCAGAATGGCAAAATCACCGATTTCATGTGGAATCTCATGTAACAGTATCGTGAATGTCGTTACGTAGCCAATATTATTTCCAGCCATATAACTAGCTCCTATAGCTAGACCATCTGTAAAATTATGCAGAAAGTCTGCCACCAAGTTCAAATAACCAGCGATCTTGATTTCAGCACTTTCAGGTGCTTTGTGTGCTTTGGAAATTGTTTTATCACTGTTTTTCTTCTCTTCTTTCTTCTCCTTTTTCTTCTCTAACAAATTATCTTTTTTATCTTGAGAATCATGATGGACATGTGAGTGACTGTGATCGCCTTTAACAATGCGTACTGCCTTCTCGACCATTAGAAATACTGTCATCCCTAACAATATGCACAAACCAACAGATATATCATGTTTGTGAAGTCCTGACTCATCATGGTGACTATGGGAATGAGAATGCGAGTGTGATTCTGAACATTCATGCGAATGAGGAATCATCGCATGTGGAATCAAATGAAGAAATGCATCACCCAGTAGGCCACCGGATGCAAAACTCAGCAAGATCTTGAGCAGTGACTCACGTTGTTTAGTATTATCCAGAGGCACAAAGAACAATATAAAGAAAGGTGCAGCAGATATGATTAAGGTCGATCCAACGGCTCTTAAAATAATATTACTGTGATCCCTATGTAAAGTATTTGCTTGCGTCGAATAAGAGTGCTTATGACGGTGAACATGATCATCATCATGATGATGATGCTGATGTTGATGTTGATGTTCATTTGAATAGATTTCGTTGGCTTCTTTGGAATACTTGTAACTCGGCGATTCATGATTGTGGTCGTCGTGGCTTTCGCAGATCGCCGGCAGATTCAAAATAATGAGCGCGAGAAACGTGGCGACTATTATTCTCGAGATCCATTTGCGTATGGAGGCCCGGTTATCCCCTGTCATCGTGGTCTCCTTTGTAATTTCGTTGACACAAATGAGATGCGTTCACCTGATGTGACGTGAACATACGTGCCTGTGCTGGCAAGATACAATCAAAGGCAACTTTGCCAGCAAAGTACGTCATATAAACCACGTATACTCAACTAACCTCACTCACCCCTGCTGCCTCCTAATAATCCTAATTCCAACACGACCACCACCAACCACCATTCCACCTAACCTTCAACCACCTTCAACCTTCGAACGTCTTAAAGGCTTCAACCAGTTTGACCTTCAGAGTCTGGACACGGACGTGGATTTCACGAATCCCTTCAGTGGATTAAGCAGTGGAAAACACAATGAAGGGCACAGGCAATAAGAACAGGGAATAAAAGATTTCAACCTATCAGAAAGCGTCCATTCTAGTATACATGGTTTCTGATAAGTTAAAATTTATTTCCCGTTTCTATCATCTGTGCTTTTCATTGTGTTTCCAACTTTAGCATCAGTTACTAATAGCTCGTTGCTATTGATGTATTCTTCCAGATTTAAAATACTGATTGGATAACCTAAAAGAATACATAAAAAACAACGAGCGCTCACATATAAATGCTTCCTAAGGACACTTAATGGTGGAGCCAATCAGCGTTAGGCACATGCTTGACGCCACTCTCTTCATATCCACTCTATAGGCTGTGTTCCAAAATTTACTGCCAGTAATACTGAAAATCTATAGTGCACGTGATGTAAACTATAGATTTTTAGTACTTGCAGTAAATTTTGGAACACAGCCATAATTATACTGTGCCTCTAGCTTTCCAGCGAGAAGATGAATTCGCGTCATGCGTCGCGTCTATTATATTTTTTATACTTCATGCTGTGAGTCCTGTGCCTCGTAAAGTTAGGTCACAAAACTCAAATTCGTTTAAATTTCGTTTGCATCATCTTACTAATGAACTAAATAGCTTTTTTTCTACCGAAATGTCTCACCAGAGCTTGAAATCTTCTAGCCACGGGTACTGCGAAGCTCTCTTTTCGACTTCGCCGAGGAGTTCTAACAAGGAAAACACCGTCCCTGCGATAAAAACGTAAGATCAAGTTTGCTTGACATTGTTTAACCGTCACTTGCAAGATGAGAGAATGAAAAATTATCGTACGTCGTACGAGATAAACACTGCATAAATCACGCATTGTTTCCAAATAAAATATTTTTCTATTTTTATTTATGTTAAAATAAAATATACAAATGTAGTAGTTATATTAAAACAATATTAGTTAAAATTAAAAATGTTTTTTTTTTTTCAAATCTCATTTTTCTTTTTTTACTTAGAGCTGGTTGTTCTATTTTCAGATAAAGTATGTGATAATTTATCTGTTAGGTAAATAAAAAAGTAAGAGTATAAGGAGAGCATAAGGAAGTAAGAGAATAAAACAGTGAGCTAAAATTTACCGAAAGATGGAACAACCTAGTCTTAATCTTATTAAGTTTGTTAAATATAAATCAAATAACTTATCAAAATAAAATAATGACTTTTATTGCAGAAAGAAAAATTTGTATCCTCTGTCCAAAGAGTCATCAGCTTCAATAAAGGGACAGAATACAAACAAGATAGTGCAATGTCCTTTACAGAA